AAATTAAATGCCAGGAAGGAAAGAGGTGTTTTTCACGCCTTACTTTTTAACTAGTATTCACGTGATTAAAAAAGAAAAAGTTTTCACACAAATGGGATTTTTCTCATTCCTAATTCTAGATGGCATGTTATATTGTGTTAACTTACACATCATGTATGGAAATGTAACATCACGTAATGTAAGACTAATTAAGAAATTATAATGAGCAAATTCTAAGTTTATGTACAAGAAAGTTTAAGTAAAAGTTTGTGAAAAAGCATAAGTTTGAAAAGAAAAAAAAATCATGAAATGTGAAAGATCATCAGAAGAATGAAGGAAACATTATTTAAAAAAAATACTTTAATACGCTTACAAACTTCACTTGCTTTATGAAAAAAAAAATTACATGAAATGCAAAACTTTTTAATTAAACTTTAGTTTTTAATCCAACACCTTTAAAAATATCTGGGTATGTTAGGTAGACGGAAGTTGTTCGTCACCACCATGGTAATGATTATATTCTGAATTAACAAAATTGTATGTGCTTATGAATAACTTTCTTGCAAAAAAATTGAATGTAAAATAATATAAATAATTAAAATTTTAATCTGATAAAAATCAGCAATAAATAAAAATAATATCTTTTAAAAATGCAAAGGCAAACGATCTCGAATTTTTCATTTTATATATCAAATAAGAATGGTTTTTTATTAATTCAATACGCGCAAAAAAACTTCATTTTATGAATTTTACAAAAAAAAGGCGCCAATTAAAAGTAAATTTCCTCCTGAAAATTTATGAGGTTTTTCGTATCAACCATCTTTTGCCAAGATCGACGGAGTTTAATTAAAAAATTCCATCTTTTAATGGGTGCGTGAAAGTAAAAGTAAGAAGGTAGCACAAGGTAATGAAAATTCATAAGCTAAACAAACAATTTGCTATCATACGGTTAGAAGCAAAGAAAAAGAAAAAGTTTGTACACAAGATATAAAAAATTCTTCATCAACTTCATGCCTGCCAGCAGTTTTTTTTGACATAAAATTATATTTGCCTAATAAAATTTTCCTTCGCATTCATCTTGTCGGCAATTTTTCATACAAGATTTAAAAAATGATTTTCTTGAAATAGAAGACGAAAATTGATTGACTTTATGGCGATTCTAAATGAAAGATAAAAGGAATTATTGTTAAGTTTATTGTACAAGTAAAGCAACTAAAGGTCCTATTTCTCGCGTAAACTTTATAGGCTTTAAACAGCTTGATATAATTGTAGCAGGTAATAGAATACATAAAAACCATTAACATCATTTGATTATGATCAATTTATGGAACTAGAAGGTCGTAATTTTATTCTGGAGCTTATTTTTGAAATTGGAATTTTTGAGCTTATGGCTTTACTTTGTTAATTAAAAATTCAAAGTACATCTCTAATTCATTTACAAAATCAATTAAATTTATACTTATCGAAATTCAATCTGTACTTGATCTCTTAAATTAAATAAAAGCTTTTGCAATTTCCAATACCTATTACTGTTTAAATCAAATTTATCGTAATGCAAACAAATCTTTTCAGCAAAAAAGATCTTTCATCACGTTTTCCTTTTATCATTCATTTATTTAATTTAATTAAACTTTTTGAAAAGCATCAATTGAGAAAGGAAGAATTTGGATTTTGAAAAAAAAAAGCAATTTCAGATTTTTTTTTCTCAACCATTTTATTTCCATTATCCAAATCTCTCTTTCTCTTAATTGAATTTCTATTTACTATACATAATTTGATAACTTCCACGTTCTGTTAAATGTTTAAAGCTTATTGTAAGCTAAGAAGTGCATTTTATTTTACGGAAGAGGAAAATCGGTTCATTTAACTGATTGAAAACTGTAGATAGCTTATATCCTTAAGTGAAACGAGTTTACTGCAGTTTCTGAGACTGTTCAATGGAAAAGAGAGAGATTAATAGAAAACAAAAGCAACAAGTTCCAATCATTAGCTTTCATCGAGATGCATGAAATATATCGGACTATAAATTAATGGAAAATAAATGAGAAATAAATTCTTTGAAATGTAATGGGCAAGCAGCAATAAAAGCAAAATGAAGGCAAGAACATTGTTCCACTAATTGAATTGACTTGCGTTTGCTAGATCAGAGATAAATGGGAATAAATTCAATTTAATTACGAAATGCTTTCACGATGACATCACTGAATGATCTAAATTGAAGTGCGGGTTTTTGAAGATGAATGAAAAAAGATGTAAAAAATCGTATAATAAAGATTTTGCACGCACTGATGAGAAATCTCATTAAAATTTTGATGATCAAACATAAATTTTCCTTTTCATTCTTGTTCTTCTTTTTATCCAGATCTAAATGTACTTTGGACATTGAAATTAATTGGTTTTTGAAGAATTAAGGTGTGAATTGTCTGAAGCGAGGAAAAAAGATAAATGTCTGGTCCTCGAAAATTCAATTTGAATGAGGATTAGACATTATGTTTATTTTCTATCTAAATCAATATAAGAAACATGCTCTAATAGTCACAGTATCATCATCCTTAATTTAATCCATTTAAAAACAGAAAATATTTGGAAATTCCAATATTGAATGATTTTCTTTAATAAATAACATTTCGATTTCTAAAATGATGAAATTTTTTTAACAGAGAATTTTATCGTAAAATATCCAGCTACCCACATAAATGTTGCTGTGGAAATCATTTCAAATTATCATTTTGATATTTTTTATAATAATATTCTACATTTGCTCTCAACACTCTTGTTTTAAAGACCCCCATTTTCATTGCCCTTCATTTCATTATACAAAGCCATGGAAAGGATGTTTTTTTTCTTTTAAAAATCATTATCATTTAAATTCAAATATTATTACTAATATCACATGGCACAATGTTCTTGACACAGTAAGAATACAGAAAGTAGTACTAACTATGCAACAATATTCCTTTAAAAGATATTACATCATACAGTCATTTAGTTACTTGAACATTGTAAAAGTGGATGTAAGAAAAAAGGAAACTAAAATACGTGAGTTTTCTGAATTAAACTAGTTTGTAGATGTGATTCTTATCTTATAGAAAGAGCTAAAGAGCGAGAGAAAGAGTACGAGAAGTGTGATGATGAAAAGTAAACTATTGTAAGTCATTTCAAGTTCTTATAAGCATTTACAAACGATGATGAAATCATTTCGTGATTGTACTGATAAACGCTGCTTGAATGCTTTGCTTCTTATTCATAGCGAGAATTGTAAATTAAATGTAAAAAATAGGAAAATGAAATAAAGTGTTGAAATTTATTTTATTCACATTTAGAGATTGTTTGTGGAAGTGTTAAACGAGAGCAATGTTCTTAAATGGTAATGCAAAAGCAAGATTATGCAATGTATGTACATAAGCATATTGTTACTGAATTTGTTCGTTTGTTGCATGATTCAGTTAAAATTCTGTTCATATGAAAGCTTGCTTTTATTTCAGTTAATTGATCTTTACTCCTTTTATCTAAATTAGTTTTATGCATGATTTGCTATTTTCATATTTCAATGAAATACAATATGAGATTTGCATGCTCGCATAACATCTTGTGGTTCATCGAGAAATCTTTTATGTAATATTATATATATTATTTCAAAAAAAAAAAATCAGTCGATAAATCAATTATCAGCTTACCACATTCTCATATTTCAACAGTTTCACCCTTACCTTACTAGAGAGTGAATGAATAACGTGTACATGATCGCGATTAACCTTAATTGGCTTTTAATTGACATTGATATGTGAAAACAATAAGAACGATATCGTTCATTACAAGCTATGAGAATTCATTTCACTTCATTGTAGAATTTAAAATCCACATGGCAGTGCAAAAAGGCATTGAAAAGTTAACGAATGACCATAAACTTGAAATATGTAGAATAATAATAATATAAATATGATATATGAATGAACGACGACCTTAATTTAAGAAGAAGAAAAGTTTTCCATTTCTTCTTCTCTTTTCTCACTTTTCAATGTCATAATGCATGAACCGTTTATAAAAATAAAGGAGGGAAAAGTTTTTATGCCATTCTATTTTATTTTTATATCGAAATATAAAAATGGATAAGGACATAGATAAATAAAATGTATTGATTACCCTCATCATTGTCTTCTTCGTCATCTTTTTCTGGTTTTCTTTTTACATCTTTTCGCACAAGTATCAAATGAAGACTTTTATCTCAAACATAAATCGAAATTGAAGATTTCTTTTTCAAGTTAAAAAAGGGTTTTTTTTTTGCTCTTTTATTGATGATCTCCTCGAGGCTATCAGTTTAATCAATATCATGAATGTTTATGGAATTTTTTCCTTGTAAAAGTTGGAATATGATACTAGGACAAGATATATACATATATATGCATGAGCATCATTATGCATAAACAACAAATGAAATTTTTATATTTTCTGATATAATTTTAATGACCACTTAAGAGTTTTCTAATTAGCTAAAGGAAACGTTAGAAAAACTTGTATAGTAAAATTTCTTTGTCGAATTATCATCAGGCATTGTTTTCTATTAATTTTCAATTTTATGTCAGTAGCTAGATCATGAAAAAAATAATATTTTAACAAAAAAAAATCTACACTTTCTGATTAACCACCCTAAACCAAAGATTAGAAAAAGCTATCACGTTTGAATTGCAGAATTTATTTACAAGTGTTTGCTGTATTGATTGGCTATAAATCTTTATAAGCAAGTATTTTGAATTTTCTGACAAACATAAAATTTTAAATATAGACATCTTATGACTGCTGAAACTCATGTAATTAAAATGTGCGTTTATATCTTATGGCAATAACTCTTTATGTTTTATATTCTTAATTTTCGGAATCAAGTTAAATCGATTCGCTTTACGAGATTAGAATTACATTATTACTCTTGGAGTCTATCTGAATCTTTTTTTGATTTCTCATGTCAATCTTTTTCGGTGAGTTTATAACTTTTTAAATATATTTCAATTTTATTTTATACTCACTGAAAATTATCATAATCATTCTGCTTGATGCCAAAGGATGTTACAGTGTTGTTGAACAAAATATTGTGCTTTCGACACATAAATGATGGTATGTTCCAGTAAACTTCCATTGAGCTATGACATTGTGTGAAAATGTTACAAAACAGAGGAAAATAAAAATTTTTAAAAACTTTTAATAAGCCAAAAAAATCCATTTATGCATGCAAAAAAGGAATGTTGAAATAATTTATGTTTGATGGATGATTTTGTCACTTCCATCCCCATTGATCGAAAATTTTGAAAGCTTCAAATGTTCAATTACAATTTTTTTAAAATGAAAACTTTTTATCAAATAAAGTCGACTTTTTAAAAGTCGTCAATTGTGACTTTTTTCAAAAAATAAGATATTAGCATAACTCTTTAAACGTTCTCAATTTTTTTTATTCAATATTCATTGTAAACAAATTACAGCTGGAGATTAGAGATGAGCTAATGAAAGTGCTTTTTCTGGTTTCGACTAAGCTCACTTTTAATCTTCAGCTGTAATTTACTACTTAATAGTAAAGGGCGTAAATAAAAGAATTTTAGATAACAAAGTTAAATTTACATTTTTTTTATTTGACCGAACGAGCAATTTTAAAAAAGTTTCAAATTGGTTCAAATAAAAAACGAAAAAATGGAAAAAAATTCTATTAAATGTAGCAGAAACATTTTTGTGGCTTTTACGAAATTAAATTAAAAGTTTCAAATTTTTCTATTCTATCTCTATAAAATTGGAACTAGAAATGTTGTAAATGGAAACATTTTGCTTTTACAACCCAATGTGAATTCATTTTAGGTTTCGTAATACAACATTCATGACTAGATTTTTTTTGTATTTTTGAAACAATTTCTAATTGGGAATGTACGACAAAAACTAAACTGAAAAAAAAACAATTTTCGCATGAAAAACTTTTATTTACACACGATGAGAGATATCTGCATGTTATATAGAATGAAAAAATTGCTCACCTTACTATAGCCAATTTGGCAAGCAAGAACAATAAATTGCTTCCAATTAAACTTATTCGCATTGTTATTGATATTGATATTTTTACTGGAGCTGCTCTTCTCTTTTATCCTATGATTAAAACTTTTCCTTTTGCTTGCTTATTGCTGCTGCTTTTCTACTGATTTCTCTTCTATTTCCTGAATTTTCACAGAAATTGGTAGATGTTAATGGAAAAAAGAAAAAAATAATATAATCGGCCTTTTGTGATATGAGGCTCAATCGCACCAAACATCCATTCACGATGAGAAAAAGAACAAACGAAAAGTTGAAAACAAAAGAGCAAAGTCGCATAAAAAGAGCAAATTATGTGAGAATTTTTTCTTTCTTTCTTTCCTCTTCATTCTATGAACTGAAGCACATCGAGGGAGTCAAAACTTTCGTCCTTTTCTTCTTTATGCTAGTTTGCTTTGATCTCAACACATTTCTTCTTTATTTCTTTCACTTTTATAGCTTATACTCCGCCTGCTGCTACGGGATTATAAGCTGTTGAAAAAGGAAATATGAAAAGCTGCATGTGTCAAGTGTTGGGTAACTAAAAATGGGTTCAAATTTCCATCCCTCGATCTGTTTTCATCTATGTGGATGTAAATTTGTCAGAACGAGGCTTAAAAAGAATGATAAAGTATTTGAAGAAACTTTAGATTTGTTTTTGAGAATTTAAAAGAATAATTTATCAGTTTACGTAAGTATTAAGATTGAATAAAATTTCAGTGGATTAGCTAAGAAAGTTTTGGGAAGTAAAAGTCACATCAAAAATCAGGAAAACTTTACAATAACTTAGATTTTAATTGATTAATACAATATGTTCATTAGTGTCCAATTTCAAGAGAAACCTTTCAAATTCTCCAATAAAAATAAAATACAATATTTTATAAATTATTTTCATCCATACAGCTGAAGTTTTATCAATTATTTCTTTCATGTGAGCAACGTAATGTGACCTGACTTAAATAATTCTTGGTGAACTTTATTTACAATTCATATATTTTATACTTCCAATAAATAACGAACCTAAATACAATTTTAATTGAATACATACAGTATCGATGAAATCAAGGTCAAACTTATCGACTTTTCTTTTAAGTTGCAATACACTTTATTTTAGAATTACATTATTTTATTTTTAATTGAAATTTCATGTTTAAATATGATTCAAGTACAATTCGTTTGTTTTAATTTTGAGAGAATCACAATCAATTTTTACTACAAGTTTTTGCCATAAACATGTACCACCAATAATAAAGGTCATTGTTGCAATGAAAGCATCTTAATTTCGTAATCTTAAAGCATAAAAGACAACGCTTTATACTAGACATTCATTTATTTTGTCAATCATAAATGAAAAGAATCAACAAGCATCTCCATTCATCAATGTTCACTTACAGCTGTTTGATCAAACCGTTGATAGATAAATTTTTCTTAGTATCGGTCACGAATCACTTTAAATTAAGTTTATATTTTCGATATTTATTCAACAACTCCACAATACATTAAACGGCACGAGTCACTTTGAATGAACTCAGCAGACGACTTGTCTAGCACTATTATTGTCGTGTATTGTTATTATTATTTTGATTTCTTCAATTCTATGCTTATATTGTTATTGTATCTTTTATGTTATTATGTCCTTACGTTCCTCCTCCTTTCATTTTTTTTCTGGCAACCAACCACAGAATGTATGCAAAAAGATATAAACTCGAAAATGGGCTTTATATTAAGCACTTGACTTATTTAATTGTGTCATTATTTTGTTAAGCCCCCTCACTGTCTTTATCTCTTTGTGTTTTATGCTTTTTGCCACAACTTGCCTGTGAGCTTTCCTTTTAGAATGAAAGAGAAATTCTTTACACTCTACAGATTCCTTATCTATTTTCCCTAAGTGTCACAATATTTTTTCATCTATTTTGTATTTACGACAATGATAGTATTAAATATTAAGCCACAGCAAGTGATAATTTATGATTTTTATGCACACAGCATGAGAGCTTTCCTCTGCTTTCAATGGACAACTCACAATTTATTCCTTTAATTTTATTCTTCTTTAATGTTTGCTTTTTTCGAAAATAAAATATAATATGAAATTCTACGACCAGAACTCCCGACACACTGTCTAATTAAGTAAGCGATTACTAAATGACGAGTATAAAGAATGTGACTGAATATATACACTACTATGGCTTGCCTGCTCTTTCTTTCACTTTCAATGATAGTATTGTATGCATGTGACAACAACAAATTTATATGTTATGCGATAAAGTCGCACGATAAATCTGCACAAAAAAAAATATAAATAAATAAATATCAAAGAAGTAAGCCCGCAACAGCTGACTGCGAGTAATGTGATGTATTCACTGAACTATTATGCCATTGAAGCACATTTTCAATAGACTAGTTAATTAAAATTTCTAATTTTGGCACTTGTACACTATTTAACCTGACTCTTTTTACGAGTAGTTTTTTTTTTCATGATTAACACCCGAAAATGGAAATAAAATATAATTTTATTTTATATTCGCTCAATGTTTGCCGACTTTTCGACTGAATGCCAAGTAAATAAGCTTTGATATTGTCATAGCCACGGTTCTGTGTTTTTTTTCTGTTTGTCTCTCATTCACTCAATCTACTTTGTTTTCTCTCTTTCTTGTTCGTTCGCTCCTTCTTTCCAACTAGCTTATTTGCTTTTTGTTACAAATTAAATTCACATTGACTAATTAATAACAATTTTTTTTTCTACTGCTTTTTTATTATTATTTAACTCTTATTCAACGATATGTTTTTCGATTTTAGTGATGCATAAAATTAAGTAAAAAACCACGGATGACACATTAATCTTCCAAATTATAATGAAATGTTTTTTAAAGAAGTAAATAATTTTCAAATCAGCTAATATTGCTAAAATGAATATTTCAGTTCAATATTTGTGAATTATTACTTTGTAATGGAAAGAAACTGTATTATTCACAGGGGGATGAAGGGGGGGGGGGGGGGGTACAGAACAAAAATTACAATGAAAAAACCCAAAAATGTTTACTGCATCCAAGTAAAATCTTTTAGATGTTAATTCATGATTCTCAGTTCCAATCAAACTTTTTGTCAAAAACTGCATCGGAAGGAAGTATTGCGAAAATTTCATTTTTCGACATTTTTTTATCCAATACAAAGTGGAGTCCTTGGAAATTTCATCACAGTAAACTGTGAAATTTCATCACAGTTTGTTCTGTACCCCCCCCTTGTATTATTCAAAAAGTAGCATGATCAATTTTCATTGCAGTAAATGTATTAGAGCTTTAAAAATGACTTTTTGATTAGTTTAGTCACTGATAATTTGCATATCATCACCCAAAGTCACATATTTGCATGCTTAACAATAGTAAAAATGTCATTAAGATGATTTTCAATGCCCACATGTTTGTTTTTTCTAATGTGAACTAGGAAATAAAGAAAAAAAGTAAATTTTTTTGCATCGATGATGTTCTTGACTTGCTAATTATGTAAATTAAACTGTTGGGAAGTTGTTAATGTGTCACAAATTTATGATTTATAAGCTTTTTAACGACGATAGGAGATATTTTATTTATTTTTCAATTCTATTAGTGTAATTAAATATCATCAATAATTTCTATTATGCAAAATAATGCATCCATGTCATTACCCATAATTACCAAAAAATTTAATTAATTTAGCAAAAAAGCATTACTTTCAAGAATGAACCATGCATAGGGGCAAAACATTTCATTTAACAATTGACGCAAAAGAATTAGCAATTTATAACAATTAAAATAAATTCGACTGCTATCAGGTGAAATTTTAATGGTTTTTTTGGGTGTCAAACAATTATTTTTTAAGGTCTCATAATATTCTAAATAAAGAATATGTGAACCTAATTTTTTAAAAACACAAGCAATGCCAATTTCATTAGTTTTATATGACGAACATATAAAGGATTTAAAAATGAAACTTTACATTGTTAATTTGCAGAAAAATTTTTCGGAATTCCATGATTTTCATAACCGGATTATTTGCAAAAGATGGTTCTTGATTTCGGGTGACTTTAAACTGCATCGATTTGCTAAATGAGTAAAATAAATTTGAATATTTAAAAACCAATTGTATTTTTATCCTATAGCCCAAAAAACCAAAAGGGGTGCAGTAAATGAAATTAATTTAAAGTCAAGCTTTTTAGATACTCTGTTCTCTGTTTTTAGGATAAACAACTTTTTATGAAAGCTTTCAGCTTGTTAAAATTTACCAGAGGGCGAAATTTGTATGAAGTCGAGTGAACTCAAGTCGACTTTTCCATACAAAATCCGAGTCGACTTCGCCCTCTGAAATTTACTTTCTATATAAATCACATGCTAATAGCTGTGGTATCCTAAAGTTTTAAAACAACAACAAAAACATTAATACTATTATAAATCTTAAGTAAAGCTAAGTGGCAATAAAATTACTATAGTGCAATGACTTTTATTTACGCATATATGAGCTATAAAAATTTTCCTTATCATAAACTCCATGTGTGTCATTGACATTGAATTAAAATGCTTTTAGTGCTCATGTTAAGACTTCCATTTTTTGGAGTGGGGAAAAGTCATTTTTCGTGTTACGTAAGTAAACGGCCTCTTATTGACATTTGAAAAATCACAAAAAAATATTTTCCATAAATTAATTAAAACGAGACAAAATAAGACTTCATTTTTGTAATTTAATTACATTTTTCATTTGATCCACTCTCGTGTATTCGATGCAAAAATATGTGCTCCAATTATTTGTGGACAAAAAAAGTATTTCATAAATCTTTTCAGACAGTTCACTGTCAGTTTAAAAACCGGCCGCAAAATTTTTCCCCAACATTTATTCATTTGTATCTTTTAAAAGTATTCCGACATTGCATTTATCGTATAAATTAGTTATTCATAAAAATTAAGTAAACGCAATAATTGAAAGGCGAACAAATGAATATTTATAATGAAAATAAATTTTAAAGAATATAACAGCAGTTGTTTATTACTTCCGAAAAAAGAAATATTGCTTCATTTACTTTTGGGTTTTGAATGCAATGAAAACAAATTTGCATGGCAGATTCCAATTTAGTAAAAACAAAATAATTTCTTATAAATTGCTATAACCATTATGCAATGTTGACTTTTAATTAAATTTCATAAACAGTTATTTGATTATTTTTCCATTTGTGTTATTCATGAAAATTCAAAAGCATTTTCCTCACTTGACTAAGCAAATATGGCTTAATTTTTGTGCGAAGTATTCATTTAATGGTATAGAGGAAAAGTCATCGTATGTAATAATCAGGTAGTATAAAGAGTACAAATAAGGAATTTATATAAGAAAATCGTCATGACAGCTAAAATAAGCATGTAAAAATACACAAAAGCCAATTGCTTAAAGCAAAATGATTTTAATTAAAAAATAACAAAAAAAAACAGCTTAAAATGAGCGAAATTGTTTTTGCATATGAATATGAGGAAAAAAAAGGAATCAACATAAAATTGACATTAAAATAACATCAACAAATTCATAAAACTGTGTTTTATCTGTCTGCATTAAGAATAAAGAAATTTTATTCTGCAAACTGCTTTTTAATTGTTTAGATCTTCTCGTTTCTTGTTTGCATGCTTGCATTTTTCATATTTTTAATGACTTTTGTTTTCTTTTTCAATTTTCTTCATTTTCGGTAGATGTGCTCTATTGTTTAAGCTTTGCATATAGACTATTTTTTAAAAAAAATCCCCAAAAATCACTTTTAAACTTTTTTTTATAATAAAATAAGAAAGTAGTTCATAAATTCAGTGATAAAATCACTGCTGACATTTAAATGAAAATTAACCTTGTGGAATAAGCAACTATCAAGGGAGAAACCTTAATCTTGACAAATATAAATATTTTATCTATGAAAAGACTCATATCGTATGTTATAAGGTTGACAATTTTCCTTCCTCAAATCAACTGAACACTTGATAGTGAACATGTCGGTATGGGAATAAATGTACTTAAAAGCATAAAAATTTCGCATTGAAGTGGATTTTTATTGCTAAAAATAATTTTTTTATCATAACAAAAAATTGTAAAGAATGAAAAAAGTTTAAAAAAAATCATTGGAAGGAAGTAGAAGTTATCAAAAGCTATAAAAGTTTTTGTTCGTCATTGTATTATCAGGAAAGTCAAACGATAAGACATAAAAGTTTGTAATTAAATTTCTTTTGTCATGTTACCAATACTAATTGAATTAATTGAAGTAGAGTTTTGAAAAAATAAATTTTCATTATTCGTTTATTTTTAAGGAACTAAATGTCAAAGTTTTTCGAATGAAAATTAGAGAAAAATCAACTTTTATCACTAAAATTTCAATTTTCCATAACCCGCATCCAAAATAAAACCATTATTCATTGACGGGAATTTTAAAGGCTGGTATTTGTGTGTTATAAAGCACTCGCTGCTCATCCAATGAATAGATTAGAAGCAACAGTTCCAATGAGACATTCTTTATTTTAATACATACATGAAATTTAATTAATTTTATTTTTATACAATTGATAAGAACTTTTTAATTAATGTTCAGTATTTTAAATTCATTAACTTTCCGTACATATTTTACAATCTCTCTAGTTGTATTTCATTGACATTTTTCTACATTATAGGCTTACTTTCTTTCAGGGGTTTTAAGCTTCACACATCAAGCATGTTTGTAATAAAAGTTAAAAATTCAATCTAAAAGACACCGATAACCAAACTGTAATGTATAGTTGACTTGATGAGTACAAAGCACAAGCTGAACTTTATATTCACGGTGTATGTAAACATAGCAAAGTATATCAAGTAAACAAAAAGTTTATTGACTTTATTGTTAGTGTTTATTTCGCAATACTTTGACCTACTCCTTCGCTTCTATTGTTCTATGCTCCACCTACAATATGAAGCTTTCCTACCTATTTTCTTCTCGTTTTTTTTTAAGTTTAACTTATTTCTATTCAATTTCAATATATAATGAAAATCTTCTTTATCTCCCTTTCCTGGTGCTGCTGATGTTTGCGAACTTCCTACAAAGATAAAGAGGAAGGAATAAAGATGAAAGATTTCACTTTAATTTAATTTTTAACTTTTTCCAATATTTACTGTTTTGATAAAGGAGGAACTTTTTGCTTTAATGATACATTAGCAGCTTTAAATGGATATTAAGAGCTAGATCTCAAATAATTTGAAAATTGAATAAATACTGAGTTGAAATTTATTACAAAATAAATCAATTTGATAAGCTAGTCAAATAGAAAAACGAGCATGATTATTTTGGGAAA